AAGCTTCAAGAGAGATTTTTCATTTTTAAAAATTCATTTTAAACCTTGGGTTTCACAAATCTGTGGAAGTATTTACAAATGTTTATTTGTTTAAATAAAAATTGAAGACAACCTACATTCTGTTGAAATACTGTTTAACATTGTCAAACTGTGTTTTCTTCTTTTTTTTTTACTTTTCTTAAATTGTGCACTTCTCTTAACAGTATTATTATTACTACTATTAGTAATAGTAGTCATACTAGTATTATCACTACCATTATTGTTATTATTACTACTATTATTAGTAGTAGTAGTACTAGTATTATCACTACCATTATTATTATTATTATTATTATTATTACTATTATTATTATTAGTAGTAGTACTAGTATTATCACTACCATTATTATTATTACTACTATTATTATTAGTAGTAGTACTAGTATTATCACTACCATTATTATTATTACTACTATAATTATTACTACTATTATTATTAGTAGTAGTACTAGTATTATCACTATCATTATTATTATTATTATTATTATCATTATTATTACTAAAACTATCCTATTATAATTGTGCTTCTCCCCACCTTTGTGAGTTCACATAACCATTATGCCCTGCCAATACCTCATAAATAATAGACTATTCTGTTTCGATTGCATGGAAAGAGGGGGAAAAGATACTACTTGGTTTCAGTAAGAAAGAAGGAAAGACAGAAGTGGAGAGTGAGAATTAGATTAAGCTAATAAGAACAGTTACTACACTTTGATCTTAGCTAAAAGGCCAGGAAATTTTGGTGACAGTGATAAAAGTGTCATTTTTCTGACACACAGCATCAAATGACAGAAACCAAGTATGGGCAGTGGCAAAAATCCAGTTACCATAAATAAAATATAATCTACTGGATTATTTTAAAACAATTATTAAGAGAAATGATCATAAGACAGGGATTTGGCTAGTTACTATTCTTACTATTACTACTATCCTTACTACTACTACTACTATACTTACTATTACTACTATTCTTACTGGGTATGACAATAAACTACATCCGTGTCCTGGGTAAGACAATAACTATATTCGAAGGCAAGGACTCTGTTCAGGAGGTTTTGAGGAGCGTGGAACCACCTCTTAATTGCTGGTGTTCCCAGGTCTACCCTGACCCAGGGTGGTAGTACCTGTTAGGGTCCCAGCTATGGGCAAATAGTTAACCCCCAAACTGGGGTCAAAACACTATGAAAGTGTAAAAATAGGTTTTAATACCAGCAATAATTTTTTGTAAAATATTATTACTAGCAATGAATTTTTTAAGGAAAAATTATTACCAGCAATACATTTTTGAGGAAAAATATTACCAGCAATAAAAGTCTCGTCCACATTAAATAACCCATTGAGGCTGATATGCCGTAAAACAAAACAAAACTACTACTACTACAATTCTTACAACTACTACTACTACTATTACTACTGCTATTACTACTACTACTATTATTATCACTATATTTTGTTTTCTGTTTCATACATACTATTACCAGGTCATTATCTGAGGGTCTGGGGTAAGTATATATATATATATATATATATATATATATATATATATATATATATATATATATACACAGTCAACACTAAATTAAAAAAAAGTAAACTTCCTAGACGTAACCCTAGACTTAATGAGCAATGTTCACCTACCTTACAGAAAACCTAACACTAATCCCTTGTATGTACACCCTAAGTCAAACCGCCCTCCATCTATAATTAAGCATATACCCATATCAATAGAGAAAAGAATCAGCATGAACTCCGCTAATAAGGAAATATTCCGACAATATAGTAATTTTTATAACACAGCCCTAAAACATAGCAGATACAATAACACTAACATAAGTTATAGAAACAATAGCACTAAAAGAAAGAAAAACAGGAAAAGAAAAATCATCTGGTATACCCCTCCGTTCAACCAAATGGTTAGTACTAAGCTCGGACATAAGTTCCTAGCTTTAATTGAAAAACACTTCCCTACTAAAAGCAGACTTAGCAAGATCTTTAATAAAAACACCTTAAAATTAAGTTACAGTTGCACTGAAAATCTACAAAGAAACATAAAAAAACATAATAATAAAATCCTGGAAACATACACGTGCCAAAACAGTATTAATAAAAATCCTAAACTAAAATCAGACAAAAATAATGAAAAATTATGTGATTGTAGAAACCCTGAAAACTGCCTGTTGGAAAATAAATGCCTCATAAAATCCATAGTATACCAATGTACTATCTCATCCATTGAGAGTCCTAACACTGATAGGATATACATTGGGTCAATGAAGAATAAATTTAAAATTAGGTGGAGGCAGCACAAGAGCTTCTTCAATAATATTAGAAGTAGAAATCATCTCTATCCAAATATTTTTGGCATTTAAAAGAAATGAATAAAACGCCAAAAGTAAAATGGAAAATAATAAATAGAACAAGAACTTGTCAAACCTGGGATGACCCATGCCCTTTATGCCTAGATGAAAAACTACACATAATTAAGTTTGTAAATAATGAAAATTTATTAAACCATAGGACATGAGTTAACGGTTTTTTGCCGACATCAACAAAATTTCACATTAATAATTAGCATAAAAAAAAAATCAAATTTCATAGTTTAATAAAGGGCTAAAAAGCTTAACCCAATCATTAAAGGGAAAAACCCTTTATGAAGTCGTCAAAAGAAAAAAAATCAAATTGTAGTTCAGTGCAACGCATTTATATATGAAACAGCCCATTAAAAATAAATAAATAAATAAACAAATAAAATAAACAAAATTATCCTGACACTTAACAACATACTATGGTGCCAAAATTTATCTGTCTCTATGAATGAACAGACGATGCGCGTACAAGAAAGACATAATTCGCTTTGAAATAGACACCCCACCCTACCTCAGCTTGACCTCTCTGAAAATGGTTGCCCCAGCCGTTTCCATAGTAACAAATGAACACGCTTATAATGATACATAAATTTCAAAATTGGTTATTCCTAAATTTTTGCTTGAGGATGAAACAGGGCTTGTTACTTTAATTCAATTTAAGTTTAATAATTATATTGGTGGTTTCAGCTCTCGTTTTTGAAACATGAGAACTCTTATGTAGCGAAGGAATCATATTTTTTTAAAATAATTATAATTATATATATATATATATATATATATATATATATATATATATATATCGGTGTCCAAAAATAATGTATACACTCTTTAAATATTAATAGTTAATAATACATTACTGTGATATGAGAACTTATATGGATGAAAATATACAAAACAGATGGATTGGAAGAAGAGGGACAGGTGAATACCCACCTAGATCACCAGATTTGACACCCTTGGATTTCTTTTTGTGGAGGTTTCTAAAAAGACAAGGTTTACAGCAAAAAACCTGAAACAATTGCTGAAATGAGAGTAGCAATTGAAGAAGAATGTGCTCAAATACCAGAGGAAATGATACTAGACGTTTGTAGGTTTATTTCTTCAAGAAATGAAAAGTGTATTGAACAGAATGGCAACCAGTTTCAGCATTTGATGTGAACTCATCATTATATGAACATTCTGCCATTACCCCAAGTAGCTTTTATAATATTAAAGTTAATTTTATATGTTTTTTGTATATTTTATGCTCAAATTCTTTAAATGTGTATTTTTTCTCTTGTATTAATCTTATTTACAAGTCAAAATACATAAATTGAATAAGTTATAATGATTCAAAAAGTGTATACATTATTTTGGGACACCTTGTTTATATATATATATATGCATTCTATTTACACAAATTCTGATGTTAAATGATACTTAACATGTACAGTGTTTATATTTTCTTGACATTGGTAATACTCTCCTGAGGAGATTAGCCAGTCCACACAATGCATTTTTTTTATTGATTCATTTTCTATGGCTTATCAACCTTTTGCAGGTTATTTAAAGCCAGAAAATATTTTTAAAGTGTAAGAATTTTGTTTTTGAGATAATAATGGTTTAGTGCTACAAGTCTTAATAATTAACCCATACTTAGATTCATACCTAATCAGAATTTGATAAACTAGAACTTATAATGTGAAAATAAAATGGGGGATCAATTTTATATTACAATCAATAATTAAAATGATCCCTCACTTTATGGACACTGTAGTTTCTATGTTTATATTCCAGGGAATGTAAATAAATCTAAAAGACATGCCTGTGTAGCTAATCATTATTTCATTGATTGATTTGTTTTCTACAGTTTACAAGAAATTATAATGTGGAAATAAAGTGGGGGATCAATTATACATTACACCAATATATAAACTGATCCCTCATTTTATAGCCACTGTAGCTTTTATACATTTCTATCCCAGAGAATGTAAATAAATCTAAGACATGGCTGTGTAGCTAATCAGTATTCCATTGAGTGATTGATTCGTTTTCTATTGTTTATCAACAAACAAGAAATTATAATGTGGATATAAAGTGGGGGATGAATTCTATATTACAATCAATATATAAACTGATCCCTCACTTTATGGTCACTGTAGTTTCTATACAATTATATTCCATAAAATGTAAATAAATCTAAAAGACATGTCTGTGTAGCTAATCAGTATTTCATTGATTGATTCGTTTTCTACAGCTTATCAACCCTTTGCAGGTTATTTAAAGCCAGAAAATATTTTTAGATTGTAAGATATTTTTTAGGAGATAATAATAGTTTAGTGCTACAAGTCTTACTAATTAACCCATAGCTGGGGGGAGAAAAGGTGGATTCATACCTTTCCCAAGGGTATTTGCACGTAAGTGAATATAACAAACCCAACAAGAATTAGAACTCTCTGACAATTCTGAGCCTTTATCCATTGCACCACCCACACATCCAAGCTTACAGATCCTGATATTCCCAAGCTGATCCCTGAGGAATGAGCCAGTGAAAATGTTGCATCTCCATCGGAGAGATTCAAGTGTTAGGGGGAAGGTGTGACAATTCCCACTTACAATATGGCTTCTTGGTGTGCTTTCTCGGCAAGGTCTGCAATTTTTTGACTTGATTCCTGCTGGACTTGATACTGAAAAATGAACAACATTAACTTAATAATATAAAATGTTTGCCATTATCACAATTTGGAACCAAAGATTATTCCAAAAATTGCTCTCAGACTTTACTTACTCAACTAAATGCAGAGGCAATCAAAATCTTCATATACAAGTCATTTGATTGATCGATCAATCTGTTTTTTATAGTTTATCAACCCTTTGCAGGTTATTTACAGCCAGAAAATATTTTTAGATTGTAAAAAAATTTTCTTTTTTAATATAATGATTTAGTGATGCAAGTTTTACTACTTGGCTCATAGCAGGAAAAAAAAAAGTGGATTTATACCTTTCCCAAAGGTATTAACGTGGAAGTGAATATAACAAATTCAATGAGTATTGGAACTCAGCTTTCTGATTTACAATTCCAAGCCATTATTCATTACACTACTCACATATCCAAGCTTACAGCACCTGGTATTCTTAAGTGGTTACCCATCTAGGCACTGACCAGCCTCGACATTGCTTAACTTTAGTGATCATACGAAAACTCGACTCTCCGATTAACAATTCCAAGCCATTATCCATTACACCACCTGCACATCTAAGCTTACAGCACCTGGTATTCCTAAGTGGTCACCCATTTAGGCAATGACCAGCCTTGACATTGCTTAACTTTAGTGATCATACGAAAACTCGACTCTCCGATTAACAATTCCGAGCCATTATCCATTACACCACCTGCACATCTAAGGATACAGCAACTGGTATTCCCAAGTGGTCACCCATCTAGGCACTGACCAGCCTCAACGTTGCTTAACTTCAGTGATTATATGAAAACTCGACTCTCTGATTAACAATTCCGAGCCATTATCCATTACACCACCGGCACATCTAAGGATACAGGACCTGGTATTCCCAAGTGGTCACCCATCTAGGCAATGACCAGCCTCAACATTGCTTAACTTCAGTGATTATATGAAAACTCGACTTTCCTGGTATTCTTAAGTGGTCACCCATCTAGTAATCATACAGGAACCGATGTTTCAACATGATGTGGCTGTAAGCCTATGTAAATGATGGGTTGTGATCATTTCTAACAGTAACAAGGGAAAAGGAATATATTTTAACATGCAAATATTTTCTTGTATCCTTAACTATAATATGCCATATATATATATATATATATATATATATGCACATTTCATTGAAATTTTTGGAAAAGAAAAAAATTATTAGATTGCATGAGAAATTGTATAAAAAACTAAATAAAAGCACCTTGTCTGTTGTATTCAATGCAATGTCTGCTTTTGATCTGTGGGTATTACCTCCACTTGGTCTACCAAGTTAGGTGACACTGTTTCAGGTCTATAGAAGCTCAGACATAAGCTTCCTCTTCTGCTTTTCATCTAGAATGACGTCGTTGCATGAAAGAAGGATTGCTGCTGAAATACACAAATATATATATATATATATATATATATATATATATATATTTAAATTTTTTGTGTGTAACAATTGAGAGGCAGTGTGCAAAATTTTGACATGAGACGCACATCCACACACAAAAAAAAAGCTACTGCAGTGAAAACTACAAAGACACTGCCCCAAACAACGAGGATACAGTTTACAGTAAGAACTAAATTCTAACTATCTCATGTATCCCATGTTACAACTAAGAAGCACGCACACACATACTGGCTCTTTCATGCAAACGATGACCCACCTACCAAAATTCAAGTTCTAATTGTTTTTGAAAAGTTTTGTGATATCAACGAACATTCATTGCCACATGTAATACCAAGATATACTATAATATGTAATACCGACGTCATTCTAGATGAAAAGCAGAAGAGGAAGCTTATGTCTGAGCTTCTATAGACCTGAAACAGTGTCACCTAACTTGGTAGACCAAGTGGAGGTAATACCCACAGATCAAAAGCAGACATTGCTTCAAATATGCAGCTTTTGCTTAGCCTGTCAAAGGGACACAGAGCATTCAATGGAAATCAAATAAATGAAAACAGAACAAAAAAAGAACGTTGAACAAATTTATGCACAATTTTTATCTGTGTTGGACTCAACTAAAAACAGCGGCAATGAAAGTTTACACTTGTAAATGATGGGTTGTTGTCATCAGTCATAGAAAAGAAAATCTATTTCAACACACAGATATTTTCATCGATTTTTATATAGCAATATAAGAAGAAAGAAAATATACTGTGTGTGCACATCTGATATATACATGCACCTGTGTCTATGTAAAATTTCAGTCGTCAATTGCCCGGGGGAAGAATATTTCCCCAGCAGAGATGATTCTCATGTTGGTATTGCTATCTACTGCATGCTATAGTGAAAAAAGGAAACTTATGTTCCTTCTTTTACCGTCCTAAAATAGCGAATAATCCCTATAAATTTAAAACCTACTGCAATCGACAGAAATATGTTCAAAGACGCAAAAGTTCCAGTGATTCTTTAGAAAACTGGTTATATTCTTTTTTCTGCATCCACAAAAACAAAATTTAAATAAAAAAAAGGACTGAATGCCCAGCAGAATACAATGATACCTCGGCTTAAGTCATTTAGAGTTAAGTCATTTTTGAAGATATGTTGGTTTTTCTTAAATATTATGTGGGAAAATAAAATTCGCCTTAGGTTGTTTTACTCAAATTTATGTAAATTTAATATTGGTTTTTACTTAATTACATTTAATTATTTTATTCAGAATACTGTACGTACATATAAATACTGCAAAATGCAATTGTGAGTGCTTATTTTTGGTTTGTAGTGTGGTTATTTTGACTGAAGTCATTTTTTGACCTCTGGAACCAATTAACAACATCGGGTGAGGTATACCTATACTGCTAATCATATAACCAAACAGTTTTTGTGTCTGATACGAACTTTCCTGTGAGATGGCCTTACAAAAATAACTTGGACTGTGAATGCTTTTAACTATTTTTTCTTTTTTCAGAAATATATTTTAACACTTTTTTCAATAATCTCCAATCAAGGACACATCCTAAAAATACAAGTTTATATTATAATTATTTGATAATGCTAATTGTTACAAGCATAATTATCAATTTTTATTAAAGCATTTTCTCAAGTACGTGACAATGGTCAACAGGGAATAATCCAAACCTATCAAGAGAAACTACTCTTTAATTAGCAATGAACAATCCTAAAGTCACGGTGGAGTATTGGATAGAGGCTCGGATTGAGGAATCAGAGACATGAGTTCTAATTCAAGTTTGTTACATTCACTTATGTTCTAATACCCTTGGAAAAGATATGAATCTCCACCCCCCAGCTATGGGTAAATAGCAAGGCAGACTGGGTTCTATAGCCTTGTGTAGCAACCAGTCTAGGAGAAGGAAAATTCAATATGAGCCTGGGGAGGCTTGGGCTCTGTCAGGCTATCTTGACCAAGAAAATACCATTGCTACTCCTGCGGCAGCCAATGTAGTACCCCTATGAACACAGAGGGGTAAGGGTTTAAAAAAAATGCTAGAGTTATCTTCCTTGTTTTGAAATTGTCAATTTATACTGTCTTAATAATAACTAGTTTCCTAAATGGTAATTTCTTTAGTCTTCAAATTTGAGAATTTTAACTGTATTTCTGTAACAAAATTTGTGCTACAGTGTGCCAATTTTGCTGTGTTGTAGCAACGACAATACAAACAAGAATTGGATCATTAATATATAGAGGTTTATTGTAGATTTTTAATGAAATGTTTTGTGAATTTCTGTTTTTGTAATTTAAATGAATGCTACTGTATAACAATTTATGAATTCATTCTTTCAGATGAGTTCCCCATCTCAGCTATCACAATGTATTGTACAAGAGTGTCATTGCTGACAATGTAGTTTGAACTTAGATCACTAGTGAACAACACGGGCGATTCCATTATTAAGTAGATCACGTGATCATAAAGGAAGTGAATAAATATGAAGTAGCATAATGATCACTGTTCACTCTTCTTGTCTCTCCACTATTGCTATATGTTTAATCTCTCTACTCTACTACTATATGGATTATGATTCTCTTCTGATCATTATACTATTTGGCGATTACTACTTGAACAAGTATTACTAGTGTGGATATTATTGGAAGGTGTTACTACTAGTACTTGTGGTCCTACCAAGGACTGAACTCACCATCTTTGGCTAACAAATTTCTGAAGATATTAGACCCCCAACTCCTCAGCTTAATGGATGTGTTCTAAGCAGTAGCAGTAGCAGGCTTGTCTCCCTTCCTGCAAAAGTGGATTTAACTGTTAGATATTATTTAAGTTTATTGAAATTTCTCTTTAAAGTGAATTTTTCTATTTTTTTGTTGAAGTGCTGTTACTCAATTTATTAATCAAAATCCTGTTTTATTAATAATAATGATCAATTCTAATGAAAATGTTTATGTGTGACTTCAGAATCCATTTCATAATTTCAAGTTTAGGATAATTAAAGTTAGAAACAAATTAAAAAAGACACAAATAAAGGAATAATTATTCTTTACAAACCTTTTCTTCAAGAAATTTTTTCTCGCATTGTGCCAATTCTTTTTGGTGAGCATCTATATTTTTCTCAAGAACCTCTTTTAACTGAAAAAAAAAATGTTGCCACAAATCAGATATTTATCAATTACTTCTTTTGCAAGGATATTCTTAAATATTCAATATTGGAGACAGAGAGTTTATAAATATAGACATTGTGGAGATTTTTTTTAATCAATTCATCCTAAGCAAGGCAATAATGCCAAGATGTAAGGGGGTCTACTGGGAATGAATGAGAATGAGAAGAATTTAGAAGACACCTAATCCTAAACAGGAAACAAAGAAACTTCTTTTCAAAAGGCCAGGGAATGTGAAGAAGATGATAGGTGAATCTATTTCCTCCGAGGGAACAACACTGTATAATGAATATGTTGTGGATTTGAATTAACCCACAACAAAGAAAAAGGTGGCAAAGGCATTTAAATATAAAACTATAAAATATAGTTTTTCTCAAAGGTATTGTTGTGGCCTGTTTAGGGGCCAGAAAAGAAAGACATGGATGACGAAGGGAGGTTGAACAAGTGTATTGAAATAACAGATGTATATAAAGCAAGAGTGTTAGTAATAAGCAGATAGAGGTGTCCGTCCGAACGATCAGGTATTTCTGCTACTCAACTGCCCACACGCACTCCTTAGGAAGTCTTGCAGTTAGTATTTATGAAAGGAGGAAGAGTTCATTCTACTGTAGGAGGGTTTAGCACAGCAGGTATGAGTGTTAAAGTCCTTGTGTTGAAGTTCCTAGTTTGTAGCTGCTTGGTAAGATCAAAAGAAATGTGATTTTTTTTCATATATGTGTGAGAAGGGGAGAAAGTGAGTAGAAATGTGTAAGTGTCATGTAGCTTGGTGAAGAAGATGGGTGAATGAGTAAAGGAATCTCTATGAAGCCTCCATTGCATTGTTGGCGTCTGTTTCCATTCCTTACTGGTTTGTCTGATCTAGAAGCTTTGCTCAAATACTCTTCAAAGGGATCACAAAGCATTTTTTTTTTATTGTTGGTGGGAATGAAATCTCTTGGTCAAAGACTGTTAAATATTTATTTTCAAAGGATTAATTTATTAACCAGAAGGATGCACGAATGTACTGACTCAGAAACTATTTTTTTGTCATTTTGTAATTGACTGTTTTGGCGTTTATTTTCATCTTTGCTCCACAAATGTCAGAAAGATACTGAAAAACTTACAGTCACCATACAGTGTTGATTTCTATGTGTATCCACACAGTACATGTTCATATATGTATGTATGTGCAAGTATGTATTATATGTAGTTGTGTATGTATATATATATGTATGTGTTTTTGTGCTATAAACAATAGGTCTTTAATAGATTAAATATTTTAAAATATTTTTATATGTTTATATTAAATTTGTAACCTGTAGGTGATATTACTTGCTTTGTCTAATTATTCTTGATTACATACACATTATTTCTCTTATAAATGCCCTCGCTTTATTTTTCAGAAACCCCCACCCTTATTTTTTTTCCTCTATCTCTCATCTTCTCTTTTCTTGTATATATAAGGTTAGTAATGCAAAGCAGACGGAAAATTTTCACATACGCATCGGCAGTTTGAATTGGCTGGATTTTAAGTTTAGATCATAGCATTTTTTTATTGTGCATAAGGCTACCACAAATGTATCCACACGTTTTCAGTGTGTTTTTTAATTTTAATTTTAGGTCAGCTTATCGATAGTGATTTACGCATCTGAAAATAATTCATATTTATCTGTATCTCACTCATTTAAACCGTCCTTTAACTCGTCTCTTTAAAACTTCTCTCTGTTAAATTTTAATCCCCACCTTCACCTTTAGGCCTTCCTGTTCTTCTTTCTTCTGTTACACCCTCTCTCTAAAGCTTTCATACATTTCCCTCTCACAATTGTTCCCCACTCCCACACATACACTCTCACTAAAATTTTGTTTTTTATACCCGGAGTTATATTTTTCTTTTTGAATTTTTAGGTCTGATGATTTGGGTGATGATTACGATTCCAATGTAATAAATTATAACCATGGAATATTAGTGTTTGAGCCTTTTATATTACATACATATATATATATATATATATATATATATATATATATATATATACCCAAGTATATAATTAGTATATATGGAATGAATTCCAATAACCAACAATTACTAATCTTAAAACAGTGCTCAATAGAAAGTAGAGCAGATATAATTATTTTTTAAAAAAAATTACTTGATAAGACACCTAGGGTGTTGAAACAAAATGGCTATTTTTGTAGTGATTTTATAACATATTTATGTTATAAATTTTTTTTAAAAAAATAATTATATATATATATATATATATATTTATATTTCTACTTTTATATATATACATATACACACAAATTCAATGAGAACAAATCAAATAAAAATTCAAATGTTCATAAAATTAAATTAAAATAGAGCTCAATACAAAAATTCTTTATTATAGGTTATTACATTTGAACACACATATTACCGCTACAAAAATACATTAATGTTTCGATGCAACATAGCATCTCATCAGTCGGTGGTGAAATGATTGTTATAACAATTTTTAATAACAATTATAAAACATCTCTTCTACACAAAAAAAATAAAAAAAATAAAATAAAATAAAGAAAGAAAGACATAAGACATAATTGTGTTAAAAAGAAAAGAAAAAAAAGAAAAAACACAAGATATAGCCGAAAAAAGAAAAGAAAGGAAGACAAGATAAAGTCAGTAAAAAGAAAGAAGAAGAAAAAATAAGAAGAGATAGAAGAGAAGAAAGAGCCAAGATATAATCACTTCTCCTAAGAAAAAGTAAAAGAAGAGATAAAGATAAGTATAAATATGAGGATGATATAGAAATGAAAAAAAAGACAAGACCAGACATGTTGTGAATTGGTTTAACCAATGAAAATCATTTACATTAAGTAAGATGTTATGGTGTATAAATTTAACCAGAAATCATGTTTTATAGGTGAAACATTTGGGATAATTCTTATATTGAACCCTTTTTTAAATTAATGTTATGAATGTTTGAATTTATATTCTTTTCATTCTTTTACATTTATATATATATATATTATGAAATGGACAAAGTCTGACAATTATTTTAAGATATTTTTTATACATTATAAAAAAAATGTATAAATATAAAAAATGTCTTCAAATATATATATATATATATATATATATATTGATGCATGTTTCATTAAATAATATAGACAAGTTTTGTCTATTTATTTTAAGCAAGTTCCTTTCATATTGTCTGATAAGCTTAATAACATTATCATTGAAAGACAAAAGGAAATCCCCATATTGATACATGTTTAAATCCAATCTAAGTTTTTGGCTTACACAAGCCATTATCAAAGATGACAATTACATTTCAATATATCAAACAATACACGGACGAAACAATAATGATAGTCTGTTTTTGTTGCATGAAAAATTTCAAAGCAACAACAAACTTGTATATACGAGACGCAGAAGCAAAAATCACATCACAGCTCGTGACATGACACATGACCATGCAAGAGTGAAAACGAGAAGTATTAAGTATGGGAAGCCATTGGTATAAACCAATGGACTTCTGTTATCAACTATAGGCATTTAAGAATATTTGTGGAGATTTCATAGTTTATTTTGTTTAGGTTAGGTTTCAACTGTTTTATGTATACCGCTTCAAGAATTTTTAGTTTTAGTTTTTGTTATTGTTTCGTCCGTGTATTGGTTGATATATTAAAATGTAATTGTCATCTTTGATAATGGCTTATGTAATGCCAAGGTGATCAATTTCCTAGACACTACGACCGATCTATCCAGAGGAATGTACATACCTTATGAATTTTATAATACATTAGTAAAGAATCTAACCACGTGTCGTGTATTCTTTATAACCTCCACAAATTTGTGCCACATAGACTCTCCACTAAGTCCAGCAGTAAACACATCTTTGACAAATACAAAACCAAATACATTGATGCATTAAATAGAAGTAAGCATAATGTTGAAGTAAAGTACTTCCCTAACACTAGTGTGAATACCAATGGTAAATCTAAGAATAGAAAGCACAACATTATTTGGTTCAATCCGCCCTTCAATAGTAATGTCAGGACCAACATTGATAGAATCTTTCTTAGGTTAGTACACAAACATTTTAGTCATAATCCCTTAGAAAAATCTTCAACAAGAACAACGATAAGGTTGCCTGCAGTTGCACTAAAAACTTTGATCAATATTTAGTCCAACATAATAGTGTAATCCTTGAAGAAATACTTAAGCAGCACGAGTAGCAATGATAGCCCTGATGATAAAAAATGTAATTGTCGTAAAGGTACCATCCGTCCCATGAAGGGTAAATGCATGTATAAAGAAGTTATCTATTAGGCATAATGACCAGATTAAATTGCATAATGACCAGATTAAATTTTATTTCAGATCTACAACTAATAATTGGAAAAAGAGTCACAAAATGACACTTAGCAACAAAATGACACTTAGCAACAAAATGACACTTAGCAACAAAAAATATGCAAACACCACAGCACTCTCTAAGTTTTACTGGATCATTAAAACAGATGCCTACACACCACATGTAAATTGGGAATTCATAGCTCAAACCAAGCCAAGTGGGAGGGGGCGATGCAACCTACGTCTATTAGAAAAAAATTCATCCTCAAAAATATTAGCAATGTAGGTCTGCTTAATAAGTGGAACAAACTCATGATAGCCTGTAGGCACAGAAAATCGTTTCTCTTAAAATACTGGATTAAATTACTCTTTTTTATTATATATTCCTCTTTTATTAAAATTTAGGTTTCATACCTGCTTATCTCCCTTTAACCCAGAGAACATTACCATATCAGAACTAGAGCAGCGTCTCCAGGAATAATTTTAAATTTCTATTTTTCCCTTTATTTATTTATTTTTATTTTTTATTTTTTTTTTAAATGAACCCTTCCTACATGTCATTTCCTACATCTTTTGTACTATTTTATTTTATTTTTTGGTCTATGAAACAACATTCCTCCCATGTGACATCTGTGTATTTTTATAAATCATACAATATACTTTGTGCCTGATGAGCTGGAAAACCAGTGAAACTTAAGTCATACACCAAAATGTATGTATATTTATTAATATATATGTGTGTGTGTGTGTGTGTGTGTGTGTGTATATATATTGAATATACTATTCGATAAATCAATCAAAAGTCAATGACCAACTCCAGAGTTTTGTGTCAAAATGCTTGTCAAGGCCAGATGTTTGATAAATTTATTGAAATCATTATCAGATCTTATATTTTTATTCCTCAGAACAAATGCCAATCATTGCAATTAGAGTTTCTGGGAGAGAGCACATTATCTGGCATGATCAACAGTTAAAACAAAAATTCAGTGTGTTCAAGGTCTCAGTCATGATAGCTTGTGACTTCATGTGAGGACAACCATCGACAAAGAATTAACCCAATTTCACTAACAAGGCTTGGGTCAACCTGTAGCTTGATTTTCAGGCACTTTCCAATGATGCTTCATGTATGAAATTGCCACACGAGGCTGATATTATCTTCTTCTTCCTCTTTTTATTTCAGGGTTGTTGTCTCGTTAGTTGAGCGAGAACTATAGAAAGAGAAATTCAGAGAGAGGGAAGAAATTGATAAGGGTTTTAAAAGAAAGTGCAAATGCCTTATTTTTATTTGAATTCTTTTTATTTTTGTTTATTTTTATTTTATTTTTGTTTATTTTATTTTACTTTATTTTATTTGCTTTTATTTATTTTATTTGTTAATTTTTATTTTATTTATTTTTGTTTATTCTATTTGTTTATTTTATTTTATTTATTTTTTATTTTTATTTTATTTTTGTTTATTTAATTATATTTATTTTTATTTTATTTTTTGTTTATTTTATATTATTTTTTTTGTTTATTTTATTTATTTTCTTGTTGTTTATTTTATTTTTGTTTATTTTATTTTTTATTTTTAATTTATTTTTTGTTTGTTTTATTTTTTTTTTTGTTTATTTCATTTTATTTATTTTTTGTTTATTTTATTTGTTTATTTTTAATTTATTTTTTTTTATTTTATTTATTTTTGTTCATTATATTTTTTATTTTGTTTATTTTATTTTATTTATTTTTGTTTATTTTATATTATTTTATTTGCTTTTATTATTGGGACTCACTACAAATCTATTCTGTTGGTAAGTTAAAGAGTAAATGAGGAACCTTTTTTCAGTCATGCATGTATCCTAGTAGTGTCTGCGATTTAACATGAAAGAGGGATAGCCTATTGGGATTCATGCTACACATGCTCCCAGTTCTTTTACACATGCTCAAAAAGCTAAAAAAGGGTTGCTGCTGCTAATAAGGTTTTTCGTACATGCATGTCTGGCAAAACAAAGTGTAGCATCTGCTACAGTTCTTTCCATTATTTTTCTTTCCTTTTTTCATTTTCTTTTTTTCTCTTTCTTCTTTTTTGTGCTTCTATTTGATTTTTGTACCAACGACTGTAGTCGTGTTTTTTCCCCCGTTTTTGACATTTTTTTTTTAATTATCTTTATATTTATCACTATCATAAAATTTTGTCCCGTTCCTCTAATAAGATATTAAAAAAGACGTCACTATTGCAATTAAAGAAAAAAGAAGTGTAATTACCTCCTTGATTTCTTTTTCCATTTCGCATCTTTTCTTCCGGAATTCCTGCACCAATTTCAGTTCATTGTGATAGACATCAGCTTCTCGAGTTTTGGCGTTCAATTTATCTTCTAGGTCGTTTATCCGTTGATGAAAACTAAAAGTCTATGAAGAACGACAGAGAAATAGGTCAACATTCAATGAACCTTGGAATTGTGTTATTATTCATGATTTGAAAAAGAAAATCTACAAAATATAAGAAGGACCAAGAGCAGTGCCCAATTTCTATTTTTACAGTCATCAGTTGATTAGGAAAATTAATACAGTGTAACCCGGATATAAGAGAAACCCGGATATAAGAGAAACCCGGATATAAGAGATTTTCTCTGGTCCCAAATTAGAGCCCATACTTACCTAAACAAAATAGACCAAACCTGGATATAAGAGAAACCCGGATATAAGAGACTTCTTCTCCGGTCCCGACAACTCTCTTATATCCAGGTTACACTGTAAATCTGAAAGATGAATATTAATAATATAACATTCCTTACCTTTTAACTAACAATATTGATGTTCCTTACCTTTACAGCAAATTCCTTAACTCTTCAGTAACAACATTGCTCTTTTTTTTTTTTGCTTTTCAATAATAACCCTTCTCATGGATAAAGCATTCAGGCCTTGATTTTCATCATGTACATAATTATCCTTCTACTAGTGTGTATACATGCTGTTAGAATTGATTGCAAGAAAGAATTTATTGTAAGTAACTTTCATTTAATCCAAGGACAATTGACTCATACAAATATTTAATAATCTAATGAACGTGAACAATCCAAATGTTTAAAATGCAAGGTCAGTATAAAATTAAAATTATTTAAAGGAAATTAAATTCTTGCAAAAGTTAAAGACATATTGGTATCAAATGAAATAAAAGATAGAAAAAATTTTGGACAAGACATATTGAGTATCAAATGAAAATTTTTGCCTTTTGAAAAAGTCGGAAGACGAAACGTCGGGCAAAATGTAAGATTTTTTTTTCCAATTGTCATTTGATACCAATAATTTTCATCTAAATTGCAAAAACTATAGCGGGCATTATTTTTTCAAAAATTTGTAGGAATTCTTCAACTTGGATTTTTGTTAAATGTCAAAATTTGAAGTGTCAGGATTCGATACAATAACATTGTGGTGCGACTGCTCATAATTTGGCCATTTAGAATAATGTCATGTTGTTTTTTCAACTGGATTTTATTCATTTAATAATGAATAAAATCCAGTTGAAAAAACAACGTAATATCAACAAATAAAATGTACATGTGTTAGAAACAGTAAAATGTTGTTATATGTTTGTGTGAAAGAGTCAGTATATGTGTGCATGTTTAGTAGTAATAGGGGATACAAGAGATAGTTAGTATTTAGTTCTTACTGTGAACTGTGTCGCCATAGTTTAGAGTAGTCTCTTTGTAGTTTGTCAGCATAGTTGCTTTTTGTGTGTGCACATGAATGGGGTCTTAAAGATAAGCAGCTTCAGTGAACCTTGATGACTTTTGTGCATCTCATGTTTGGGGCCAGAATTTGTGAGTTTTATATACTTTTTCATAAGAACATTGGCTCCAGAATTATATTTCTTTATTTCTTCCTAATTGGCCCTAAAAAGACATGTGATATGTCTTCTACTATGTCCACAGGATATTTTGATGAAATATTTTATTAAATATCTTAGTGGACACAACAAATTAATTTAAATAAAATACAGTTAAATTCGTAAAACAAATATTCAACATGACTAATGTTGCCTGTAACTCATGTCTGTCTCTCATAATTTTTACTTAACTAAAGTTATATTTTTTCTTTTCAAAAACAAATATAAGTTGAATTTTGGCTGTTGGATTATCATTATTTTGCACACTTTCCCTCAATTGTTACACAGAAAAAAATTTTGCACACTGCCTCCCAATTGTTACACACACAAAAAAAACATAAGTATATATATATATATATATATATATATATATATATATATATATATATATATATATATATATAAATGGTGTTCAATAACTTGGACCGATTTTATGTGTGAATTAAGTTTAAGTGTCTAATGATTTTTTTCTTTTTCTTTCAGATTTTTGACATTTGGGTGATATTATTTTTCACATATAATTTCCATGACTTAAAGAACATGATCCAATAGAGAAATAAATAAATTTTCACCAATAATAACTGATATATTTATTGCTGACTTTGATCCGTCTTAATGAAACACCCTTATATATAATCTGTCTTAATGAAACACCCTTTATATGTGGCATATAATATATACGTAGATTTTATAACTCTCACTCATGATTATATTACTATTAATCATGACAGTCACCTCAGCAAATTATTCGGTACAATTGACCAATCATAGAGTTTATCAAAGTCAATCCAACAAGTACTGCCATTGGAATCTTATTTAATATTACAATTGTATTTATATTTGTCAGTTGCTTTCACACTTCTAATCAGCATTTTTGTCAGAAATATATTCACCACTATCAGAATTTAATTCCTTGAAAATGTTCCATCCACAACAGGATAATAATTTCATTCCTGAAAGCTTTCAATTTGAATCACATTATGGGTGTCATCATCAGTAACATCATTAATATTATCACAAGTCAATTCCACATAACCTTCTTCTTCAGCCAAAAAATAAAGATTGCTATTACCACTATCATCATCATCATCATCATCATCACTTGTGAATTCCTCCCTTTGTGTTTATAATTTGATATTATATTTGATATTTCTATCAGGAGACAAGCCTATACATATGTGATACCTATATTTGATTCCCAACCTATCCAGTTACACACCTCAGATGTGTCATTCATAATAGTCAAGCCTCTTGTGAAATATTTTGTGGAAGGTTGAAGGTGTGAAAATTTGGCATTGTAAAGAATTCAACAAGTGCACAAAGAAAAAGAAAAGAAGACATTTAAAGTGTAAATCCAAAATTTTCATAATCAAGAAATTGTTGAGGTGATTTTAACAAAAACAGGTCGAGTCTAGTTTCTTCTTATGAATACAGTTTTCTTATGACAAGACACAGGAAGATTTCTTAATGACTCCACTTACTACTTCAACTGAGACTGTTACTCTAACTGCTACTTGAACTATTACTTGGACTGACTACTTGATTTTTTGTCCTTTTATTTATATCTGGTGCACAGATGTAGTAGTAAATACAAGAATACTCACAAACATTTAACAGAAAAATGCTTGGCTTCATTTGATTGTGTGTTACTTGAAGAGAATTAAATTTCTAATAACTTAATAACTATAAATGCTTAAAAGCTGAAACTTTGGAAATGAATAATTTGATATATGTTTTAAATGCTTCATAATTATTATTTTTCTCTGATAATTAAATTTTATTTTAAGTTGGTATCTACTCTGTAGGGATATTGTATCGTATTAATAATTTTTAATAAAAAGAGGTTGTTATTTTGTCTGAAACTGATAAATTAACACATTATAACAGGTGTCTGTTATAATTTGAATCTGTCTAATTTGTTAAGTTTACCAAATCTTAATTTATATACAATTTAGAATTTTTTATCTAAATTTCTGGGAAGAGCGGTTATCATTTGTTTATATTATTTACATGTGGACTATTTTCCTCATCGTTATTGTTGTTATCATAGTGTTTTGGCTATTGCATAAAGGTATACATCAATGTGGGTGTTGAGATGTTGGGAGTGTCCTGTGTGTGTGTGTATTCAAATAAAGACAAACACAGATGTAGGGAAAAATACTGGTATATTTGAAGAGGTATTTAACAACAGAGTGATTAGTAATAATGAACGCTGGTTAGTAATAACAATCAGCAAGAGTCTAAAGTCCAACGGTAACTTCCGGTAGAGAGACGGAAGTGTAATGATCACCTGATCTCCAGATCTCCTCTGGTCTCTCTAGCATTGTCCTATATCGTAAAGGGATCAGTCCATTCTTAGTCAGAAGGTGGGTGTGCCCCAACAGTGGGTAACCACAATTACTGTGTCATCAAATTCACAAAGTAACACTTTAATCCACTAGGCCATCGTCCCATGAAACTGTTGCTTTGGTTCTGGAAATATGGGACAAAAGTGAATTTCTTTTGATCATAAGTTTGCCAACTCATTTTTGTCAACTGTGATTAAAAACAAAATGACTTCTGCTATTGTCAAAATATTTTTCAGGTTTGATAATGATTTTTCGTGTTCTGAAAAACCATCTTTCTGACAATGATTCTGAATTTAACAACAGTAAGAAGTGGGAACTTGGTGAGGCCTTTAATATGAAGGTGATGACAACAGCAGCAGGAAGCCCTTGGAACAACAATACATGCGAAAGACTTATGACAGTTATTGGTAACTTAATAAACTAGATTATGGCATATACGGTGTGTGATTTTTTTTATTAAACTCTGGCCTGAATTGTTTCTGCTTGCAATGTTCTTGTTAATAATTCCAATTGGTTCTGTATTTTAGCCAGGCTTTTATAGATACCTTCTATAATCAGCCTCCTGTAGGCAGAAGGAGTTCGTATGTGTTGCATTTGGCTCAGCAAGAATTTTAAATACCAAAACCAGAAGAGTAGTAAGGAGTGATACTCATAATTCTAATATGGACAGTTTGAGTAATGGGATTATAGTGTTTATGAAGAACAACTTTAAAAATCTATATAGATTAAGGTTTTGTAAAATTAGGCAAATTCAAATTATAGTGGACATATTATTAGAACATAGCTTGTCATGTATGGAAGGAAAAGGGTAGTCATCAGCTCCTGTAGAATGAAGTAAAAATACTGGTCAAGGCAGAACACTGGAGAGTTAGAGATCTGAAAGAATCATCACATATGCTAGGCTTTGAGGACCATCTTAGTAGGCCTAGCATAGAAATAAATACAATATGGGGACCACTAATAAAGAAAGACAAATGACAGCAAGGCTTCAACAGCAGCAGCAGTCAAATTCTTGACAGGCAGAAACAGCTATTGCAGCATTAATTCAGTAGGTTAGGGTTAGAGTTCCAAAGGGTAAATAATAATGAAGAAGTCAAGTGCAATTCCATCATGTTCTTCCTTATGGTTAGAGTATCATTTTTGTGGTGTAAAAAGATGACCGACTTTCACTACACTAAAGTGTTGAACATGTACTCCTTCATCAACTATGAAAGTAGTCGCAAGTGAGACAAAGGAGTCACACAGTAGTTGCAAAGAGTGTCACACTGACTACAATATTCGCTAGTATTGTACTATTAATCCATGTTATTATTAAACAGTTCTTTTCAATAATCTTGTGTTCCAGTGTTTTCCTTTAGAATATTATTGAGTTTAACTAAGAGTTGATATGAACATTATAACAATTTTCTAAATTCAAAATCATTTTTCCTTTCTGTTATGGGTACTTACCTATAACGATAATGGACTCTTCCTGACACTATAAATACTGCGCCTCTCAAGAGGTATAATGAATGAATCGTGTAATGAGTCAAGACAATATTAGTTCACTCTAAACCGGATGGACAGTCATTACTAACCCTTCAACTTGTAATATATCTTTGTTATTCTACTCTTGTGTTTGTGTTGTTCTTCCTTGGTTCTAACTTTGGACCATAACTGTGGTGCGATGATATTGGACCATAACACTTTCTTCATTGATTTGTTACTTAAAAGTAAAAGTTATGTTTCACTTAACAGCATCAGTAACTATATCAGATCTCATATCGAATGAGGCTTGGACTTCTTGCCTGTGGAACTCTTTTCCATCTTCTTGCTTTCTGGTCAACTACAACCTTCAAAAATCCAAATGCCATGTCAATCGTCTTCTTCTGTCCTCTTGAATCCTGTTCTTTTTATTGTCTTTTCTCCTCAGTTTCCTTTGCTCTCAGTAACACCTTGTATCTTAGTGGCTTTATCACCTTACTTGAGCCTTTATTGTTTTGCTCGTGGCTTTATTTCCTTGCTTGCAAGTGTTAGGTGAATGCTGCAATATTTTGTTACATGCTTTTGACAAGTCTTTAATTTACCATAGCATAGAGCCCAACTGGGGACAATGGGTCCCATTGATTCAAAGATAGCTCCTTAGTTATAGAGATTACTCTTTCTTAAAGTCATGTGTAGTATTGGTTGGATAGTGCTTGCACTAATTAGCAAATGCATAAGGGTAGACGTTATGTATAGGCTCACTAAATAAGGCAATAATAGTACATTAACTGTAGAACCAATACTGACTCCATACAACTGCAATCCCTATTTGAGATATCATAACATCACACATATAGTTTTTGTATCTATTCAGCAATATCTTCTCCTTTAGTTTATAAATAATAAGAACAATGTAGAGATTGAACATCGTAAATCCATAAGATGAGGGGAAATAGAAAAATCAGGTGTAGCTGACCACATATGGAGGGAAAAGAGAGATCATTACTCACTGTGCAATGAGGTTGAGACAGAGAAAATCACTGGAAAATATGTAAACTTAAGGAATCAGCACGTATGCCACAAAAATCTCCTGAACCGGCCAAGCTTAGAAATGAATACAATATGGGAACCAGTAATAAGGAGTGGTAGAGAAAAGCAATAAATACAACAAAAATTGCAATATAAGCTCTGGTAAAAAAAAGATTATTGAGACATTAAGTTTATAAATCACCAAAATTCATATCCTCAAGGACACAAGTCCCAGTGGATAAAAAAGTTGTGAGTTCAATATGTGGCCATGAATATGGCAATAACAATGAGGACAACAGTACAAACACTATAAATAATTACAATATTGTTATGGTCCAGTTCCTTGTACCACGGTGATAGTCCAAGGTAGAACCAATAAAGAAGAACACGAACACAGGTATGGAATAACACAGATATATTACAAACAGGAATATATACAGAGAAGTAGAAGTGTTAGTATGAACAATCAGGTTTAGTAGAGAGAACAAGGTAGTCTCGACCAGTATCACTATTCAATGTCTTGCAGTAAATGTCTGAAAGACTCTGTTTCGGACTGCCTCTGACTTGACTCTTGACTCAAGAAGAACTACTGACTCAGCTTGAACTACTGACAATATTCAGTCACCCCCCACGAGGGTGTCATGTGGCACAAAGGCCTTTTTTAATATGTGGGCTTTTAACGTGGGCATTTAAAAGCCATTAGGCTCACTTTTCAAAAAGCTCGTGGGAAGAGTATTTTTGAACCCAAATTCATAAGCGGGTTTTTTGGGCATCAGTTCTTTTCTGGCAGTTTACCTCGAAGGAGACTCAGGTAACGAAGAATCCTTGGAATACCTCCTCCTTCATTTTCCTCCCGCCCGTGGGAAGAGAAAACAACCGTGTAGTCGGTTCAAAACTTGAACTACTGACTCCTTATCTACTCCTGAGGTGCAGTATTTATTAAGTATGGAATAGTCCATTATTATTATTATGGGTAAGATCCCATAACAAATATAGACAGATATTTGTATGAATTGGGATGAAATAACTTACCAAGGATTCAATTTTTTCCTGTTGTTGAACTTTCAATTCCGTCACTTGATTCTGTAACCTCTCCATCTGAAATAGGAAAGGAAAAAATAAAAATATACTGACTTTATGGCAATTTTATGACTTAAAAGGTTATCCAGTGAGTTTCATGTTTTATGAACCAGGTTAAAATTCAGAATATCATAAAAACATATGTTTATACCATAAATGACCTCCCTGTATCTTCATTTCCCCCAAGCAAGGTAATAAAGCCACTAAGACACAAGAACATTACTGAGTATTAGAAAACATAAGAACAATAAAAAAAAAACAACAATTAAGATGAGAGAAGATAATGGTTGCATACAAATTTTTCAAGATCAAAGTCAACTGGGAAGCAAGAAGCTGAAAGAGAGTTCTATAAATGAGAAGTGCAATAGAAGGAACTTTTAACATAGAACATACGGTTACATCTTTGCCATTTCAACTATAAAATGATGTGACATTGTCATCAATCTAATGTTGCACTTAAATTCATAAAGTCTCTAGTACCCTAGAGAAAAGTTCATCAGATCAATTATTATAAAAGTATTTATAGAAAAGGCATGGGGAAGCTACGTTACGGTGGTAGGAAAGAGACTGGAGTTAAGATGCCAGGTTAAGACCAATAACATTGCAGATTCTTCATTACCATTTTGATCTACAAGCTTCTATCTTTTAATGAATCTGATAATTCTATCCTCCAAGAAAGTTTTTATCTTTTACAACAAATCTTTATTTCATGTACATTTCATGGAATTAGATTTTTTTAGATTTTTTCATTAAGAAAAATTTTGTAAAGACCTGAATAAATGGTTATCTAAAATTACAATATCTGGTGAAATATAGCAAATGATAAAATATACAGTTTTGTGTTATCAGGCTCATTTATTAAGCCCTTTCTACAAATCCAAGATGCTTTTTGTCAATTGCTGCTGTCTGTTGTTCTAACTGAGAGAAGTAATTATTTGAATGAATTGTTTGGTTTTCTGTGTGAGAAGTCTTTTCTGTATGCAAAGTGTGAAAATGAGGCTGGGGCTATGAACTAGCAGACATTTGTGCCTGAACACATTTGGTCATATTCTAAATTCTGCTTTCTTGAGACAGAGCAGATGAATCATTCGCTGCTGAGCAGTAGAGGAACTAAACAGATTAGTATTGAAAAGAGAGCCCAACTGGAAACTCTTTCTATGGAAATGTCAGATTGCTAGAAAATTACAGATATCAAAACATAGGGTGCATTATTGCCTGCAGCAAATGCAGAAAATGGTGCAAATGTTGACAGAAAAAGATCATTAAGTGCATGGTGGCAAAACAAAGAAAGTTTAAAGAAATAAGCAATTGTATTGACATAAAATACAACAGATGATAAATTAGTGTAGATGCCTCTCGTTGAAAAAAGAGGTAAGTGGAGTTGTAAAAGGCGTCCGTCTGATGAGGCATACAGAAGGAGAGGAAGGACGAGTTGTAACTTTCTGGATTGCTGGCCTTTGGCAATCAGTCTCAAAGTCAGTGAACCCAGGCCAACTGTTGAAAATGTTCCTTTGATGGGCTTTTATATCCTTTCTTAGGCTCAAATTGGCTCTGTTTTTTATTTTGTTTGTTTAAGTGGGAATGGATGCTATTGGGTGTAAATTCTGGATTGTATTGCTTATTTTTTTGTTGAGAGTGTGAATGAAAATGGAAGGTATGTGTGGAGCCTTGTGCAGTTGACAGAATTTTAGTTCAGTTTTGGGTGTTCAGAGCCTTCATATTTATCTAGTGGTAGAAATTAGTGCAGCCTAAATCAGAAGATCTGGTTTTAAGAAAAATGTAACACACACACACACACACACACACATATATATATATATATATATATATATATATATATATATATATATATATATATTATTAAAAGCATTAGTTCTGTTTCATCTCCAGGTGAATTTTGGAATAACTTATTATAAGTTATTCCAAAATTCGCTTAAGATGAAACAGAACTAATGCTTTTAATTTAATTATATAATCAAATTTGAAGTTTTAGCTTCAATTTTTTATTCACATGGTAATTCCTGTGTAGTGAAGAAACCGTATTTTAAATCAGTTAATTTAATTTATATTAAATTATATATATATGATAAATCAAAAAATTACACAACTGAGAAATTAACTCATGGGTACAGTCTATTTCAACTGACGCTGAGTATGTCAGTCATATTCAACTCAGACAGATAAATTGTCTTACAATTTCCAGAAAGATTAATCCTGAGAGAGCTCACCTATTTGTTACACGAGCAGTATAGTACAGGTAAAAAATCCGTTGGTTTTAAATAGATTGAGCTCTTTTTGTAGATTGTTTTTATATTATTATGACCTACTTGGATTACATACCAACTGATTTTTTACCTGTACTATATATATATATATATATATATATATATATATATATATATATATATATATAAACATGCACACATACACATGGTTTTACTTCAAGTCTTTCCTGGCTTACAAACACAAAAAACACTGCCAATCGAGCTGACTTCCATAAAATGTTTGCCAACTCCTGTTCTAGTGAATACAATCAACTATCACTGTTGAAGTTACCTTGTGCAGAAATATCTATTTTGGAAAAGCCTTGCCAACAAAAGACAAACAATATACAGCGTCTTGCTGAAGAATGCATATAACTAACACACAGGTAACATTCACATGCAAAAAAGCAGTAAACACTTGGGACTGGGATATTTTTGCTTTTTGTATGCCACCATATTGGTGAAACAATAGCTGCTTTGTGACAATCCTCATCAATGTATTGCCATGTGTCATAGATACACAAAGAATAGAAAACTCAAGACAAGTTGTTGTTAAAAGTGTGTATTATTGTAACTGTTTTCCATCTCACCTGTTTTATACAGGCATAATCATAACTAGCCAATTGTTGTTATATTTACATCCCATTGTTCTCGTACCACACCAAACATACCTGCACATTTGTTTACATCCAATTACAGCCTCTATATCAGAATGAGGCTCTCAAATAAGAAGTTGTAAGAGGTGATACCATAGTAGGACTAAGAGGATATAAATTTTATGGTTTGGTTTGTTTTACGGCATATCAACACTTCAATGGGTTATTTAATGCTGACATGATTGCTAGTAATATTTTTTTCCAAAAATGTATTACTGCTAATATTTTTTCCTTCAAAAATTTTTTTTTTAAAAACTTTTCATCCCAAGCAAGGTGGGAATGTAACTAGAACGCAAGGGGTTGCAGAAAGTGGGAGCAAGAGTAAAGAGACGTGAAAGAGGAAAGGATGTGGATGCAGTTTACTGTCATACCCAGGATGGATAAATTTTATATATTTCTTGATTTTGCATAATTTATTATTTACCTTTTATAAAGATTTATTACTTACCATTTTATAAAGAAATGAATATGGAAAGGAATTTTTTATTCAACTATTTATCAAAAATTACAAAATTATCAAAATATGCAAGAAAAGGTGCTCTCAAATTATTTTATCAAATTTATGCAGCAAGAACAAATGAAAGAAATGACCACAAAATGCATCTTTTAAAAATTTATAATTGCAGTTACTTGTTAAATTTTCTCATTCAGATATTTTCATAAATTTATAAATAAAAAATTTCTTTTCATACTTATTTAATAAATAAATTCAAATTTTTTATATAAATATTTCATTGTAGTTCATTATAGTTAGCTTACATATTTTTATAATCTTGTAAATATAAAATTATTCTTGTAAATAAACAATCTAATAAATAAATAGTGTTTAAAGAAAATGGCTTCCCTCCTGGCTGAAAACAGATTCAGACATGTCTCACGTGTAAAGTACCCCAAAAAGAAAACGGCAGCACTTTATGAGTCATATATTTCAGAAAAGACAGATCTCAGTCGGATACTTTCGTGAGACTATTTTGTTCCAACTATGCAAATTTGATTTGTCACTTAATCTATAAAAAGTGCTTAACGAGGTGACATAGAAGTGGGACTGTGGTATCAAACAAAGGACACATGGTGAATGAAATGAATTGCAGAATTTTATTAGCAGCAAGAAGAAACTGACGACATAGTGGTCAATATCGTTATCGTCAATTCTCAAGAATTCTCAAGAATAGAGAAAAGATATAAATCCAATATGTTTTGATTTTATTAGAATTCCAGGTTTTAAAATAATGAATATTGCTGACGGAGTCAAAAGTGTATATAATAATAACAGTGTCAAGGGAATAACAGTCCTTTTGATACACCTTTTTTTTGTGGGCCCAAAGGTGAAACATTGTGTATTTTTCATTGATATATTTACATAGGAGGTGGGGATTCTCTTAGAGATTCCTTTCTGGTGCATTTGATTTAGCCCAACAATGGTCAGTTCTCAAAATTCTTGTTGGAATTTAGAGGTACAAATATAGTTTATAAAACTGTACTGAAACTCTCTTCCAGTAAAACAGGACAACTGAGAATAACAGATTAAGGGAGAGATAAGTTTTTAAAAAAAACAAAACAAAGCTGGATAACTTCTTTTGGTTTTAATCATTTCATCCCAAGCAAGGCAATAAAGCCACTAAGACACAAGGGCATACTGAGTGGGAAATAATGTATCAAAAAGAAAAACATTATTAAGAAGCAAGAACAATAAAAGGACAGGAATTAAGAAGACAAAAGATAACAACTGACATTGCATTTAAATTTTTGAAGTTCTCTCCTCCAATTTGCAGAGCCTAGTTACTATATTCTTAATACTTGATATAATGCAAAAATATCACAATGATAAAATCAATCAGTAATTATTTATAACTATTTATACTGGGACTCATGTATGCAATTACAAGTAATCCATAATAATATTTTTAATTTTGAAATCATATTTATTTTTGGCATATGAATTTTTTGAAACTGTTTCTAAATCTTTCAATCTTTCTGCCTCACCTGCTATCCTTTTCCTGCTGCACATACAAGTTTCTGGAAATCCTGAAGCCAGAAGAGAGTTTCATAAGTGAGAAAATAAACTGTTAGCATAGAACTTACACTTACCTCTAGCCAT